TTGGAAACATTTCAAGATCCAGTTTGCAAGCTTAATCTCAACGAGACCACTGAGTTTGTGAGGTCAGCATTTCCAGCAGCACAGAGGAGTTCATTGACAAAGAAAAGTGTGGAGGCACCTTCAACCCCAGGGAGGCCCATTTTCAGCTTCAGCATTGGGAATTTTTCAAGAAAATCTGTGCCTTCAAAGTGGGATGATGCAGAGAAGTGGGTTGCTAATGGCAGTTCTTGCCATGATTCCCCTTCTCACCCTCATGGATTCAAGTACTGTAATGGGGTTAAACCCACAGAGGCTGCTGAAGAAGATGATGATGAGAAGCATTCCATGGCTTCAGTTGGGAGATCATCATCCAAACCAGGTGTGCTTACAGGTTGAAATTAAATCCCTCTTCTCCTTGTTTCTCATATTCATTATCATTACTGCTTTGTTGAATAATCCACTCTATAATCAAAATCAGCAGATGATTTTAGTATCACACCACTCAATGTTCTTTGGTCATGAATAGACCCACTTAACCAATACAGAGATCATCAACCCAAAAGTTTAAAAGGTGTGGAGGTAAACTATTTCTTTTTTGGTCCATGCCTTTTCTTGAAAATGGGAACAACTTCAAAATTCCAGATTAGGAGTGGCTGGCTTCTTCTTATTTTTTTTCAGAAAAATACAAGCAACATTTCATTTCCCAAGAATTTAAAGTTGATGAAAAACTAAACAAAAATCCACCAAGTTCACTCAGAAATATGTACCCATAAATGATGTGGTAGCACCAAACGCCTTCTTAGAATTTGAAACTGTTCAGAATTAATAGATTAGCTGAAGTCACAATACACTGAAGTTGAAAGCTTTCAAATGATTAAATGAATCATCCTTGAAAACCAGTTTGATGATCTTTTAAAAATGTAGACAAGTTTGCCAGAGAATTAGGAAGTGTGGGTGAAAAGCTCATGAAGTGTTGTGCAATGCCGAATGAGTTTAAGGTGGATCCAGAACTGAGAGACATCGGGACCTCAATGACGCCTATGGGCAGCTCTGCTCCTTCCAAATGCCACAGCCCAATGACGATTGCATCGCCAAACGGACACAACACTCCTGCGGACCGGTCCGGTCCCCTGCCTCCATCCACTTCAACTTCTGCCAGCGCAACAGATGTGATAATGCAACTATTACAAGAGAGACATTTTTCAAAGCTGCAGCTCGCGACAATGCAGCACGATTCTGTGAAATCAAACTGGAGCACTCTGGATGAGGAGGAAGATGACGTTTCCAAGAGCTTGAGACACTTCGAGGCGAGTAACGAATGCCAGGGGTTAACCATATCCAAGCCTAGATCATACCCTTGGGAGGGCGAGGTTTCCAAGTGCTGTCAAAGGTAAACCGATTACGATTTGTTTGATTTTGTTAGATTATTAAAACCTTTCTTCTGTCTGCAATCAAAGTCTGAGATTTTGGTGGAGTTGGTTTCTTGACATGGTATCGGAGCCTTGTTGATCAACGATTTATGCTTATCCGGTCATTCCAGACAAATAACCAAATTGTCCGCCTCAGGTACCAGAGAGAAGAGGCTCAAATCCGAGCATGGGTGAACCTCCAAAGTGCCAAGGCAGAAGCTCAGTCTAAAAAGCTTGAGGTTCGATCTTTTAATTTCTTCTCACCCTTACCCCGTTTAAGTGTGTTATAATATAAAAACCTTTCTTGGACCGAATGATCCCACTCGATAAAGAGATCCAAAAATATGTTAAATGTCCAGGTGAAAATCCAAAAGATGATATCGAAAAAGGAAGAGAAGTTGATGAAGAGATTGGCAATGGTTCGGAGGAAGGCGGAAGAATGGAGGAGTGCTGCCCAGGTTCAGCACAGGGAGCAGATGCATAAGGTGAGCGAACGGGCAAGGAAGACGGTCACCCGGCAGAGCAATAATGTGTCATCTTCTCCTATCCCAACTTGTTGCACCTGTTTCCCTTGCAACAACCATTATTACCTGTGATCCTAATGGTTGCATATGTCAGTTGTTCTGTGACTTCTGTCCTGTGGTCAATTGCAATGAGTGTTATTCCTTCATTGTTTCTTTAATTTCAAGAATCTTTGGTTTGACCACAGAGGGAGAGTTGGAGATGAAGTAGCTTTTATTCTTCACATTATTATTTGACTAAAGAGGGAAATCTAACAGCCTTTTCTAGGACCACATGCTTTACGTTTTTTTCCAATTACTACATTAATCTTAGAGTATAATTGGATTTGACTCTTTGAAATAAACTAGACAAACTTTGATCATGAATTAAATAAAAATAGCATTTCGTACAAAAACATTACCTCGGTACCTCGCAACCTGGCCCATATGTAAAACATAGAGTAGTTGTCAGGACTCAGGAGATGATCCGAGCGTCGAAAATGACATTGAGTAACTATTACTACCAAATATTGGTATAAAATGCTTTTGTTATAGTTTTTCTAATTGCTACGTGCTTCCTAGAATATTCATCATGTTTGACTTGAAAAGGTCAAACATGAAAAATTATGATCAAGTAAATAATAAAGTGTTTTTTCAAATTAGTTGTCTATAAATTCTAATTACCTATATGGTACTTTATAATTGAGATTCGTGCCTTAAGTGGTCCTTTGCAAAAAATGTCACTTGAATAGCGATTAATTAGAGGTATTTTAGTATTTTTATCATCTAAACTTAAATTAAATTCTCAAAATTGTTTTTTCAGTATAATTTCATTTAAATTTAAATAGTCTTTGGTTATATATAATCTATGAATTATCAAAAATCGGTCAAAATGTATTAAATTTTGAATCAAATATATAGTCTTAAATAGAAAAGACCATTTTAGAAAAATACTTCAATTGAAATTGAGAAATTTACCTAAATAGGACTAAAACATAATGACTTTCCCAATATAGGACTATATGTTTTTATTTCCCAATGTAGGACCTTTGGTCATTCAAGTAGTCATTATTCAACTAAATGTCCATCATTACTAGACATTATTCTTCCACTAGGTCATTATTAAGTCCTATTTAGAGAATAAAAAAATTTAAGTCCTACATTAGGAAAGTCATTATGTTCTAGTCCTATTTAGTGCAAATTTCACTTCGAAATTATCATTTTGAGGACTTACTTTAAATTTCGATGATAAAAATATCAAAAATACCTTCCACTCTATTGATATTAAATAACATTTTCTACAAATGGCTATCTAAGACATAAATCTCAACTATAAAATACCACGTAGATAATTAAAATTTATTAAGAATTGATTTAGACAAATACCTTCTTAGAAAGGATTGTTTTGAAAATTTACTCAAAAAACAATTAAATATTAATTATTTTGAAAATTATGTCATCATAGTTTTTTTGTTATGGCTATGAGATTACTAGTGTTTTAACCCGTGCCATGCACGGGTGGAACGAAAATTTGTTATATTCTATAAATTTTTTTTATTAAAGACAATGTTCTTTTGGATTTTGACTTTTAGAGTTTTATTTGTTGTGAGAAAATTAGTTTATAAAGCGTCTAAATCTAATTTCTTTGGTTCCATAAGTAGTAGGAAATCATTTTTTAGAAAAAATTATTATATTTTCTATAGATGAATGTCCATTTTCTTTGTAATTGCTTGAGTCCTTTAATTCTACAAACAAAGAAAAAACTACTCTCATCCTGTCTCCCTTCCTTAAACCTTATAAAACAAAGCTCTATAATAGAGATTTGATATCTATTGTGTGTGAAAATAATATAATTATGTCACCTCTTATTTTGTAAAACTTTTGATCTCTTTCTTAAATATGTATTTTTTATTATTTAATTTTACACGAATTATCATATCAAGTGAATTAAAACTAATTTTATTCAAGCATTGTAACGAAGAAAATTCTTTCAAAGATTGAAGTAAAAAATTTATATATAAAATATCAAGTATTATAACCTTCCAAGTCACTAAATCAGTGTGAAGTCAATGATGAGTAAATGTGTTCTTATTCTATTTCTTTATATCCTTTTATAGATTCTAAATTATTAGAGTCCACTTGTGTAAAAATGGTAACTCACACTGCTATAATTTAGTTTGATTAGTTTAAATTTTTAAAATGATAAATTATAATATTTTTAATATAATTAATAATATTATACACGATCTTTTAGTATTAGTATTTTTAAATAATTTGAACCCTTAAAACTTTATTCAAAAGTATACGTCTATACGATTCGTTTGAAGTAAGTTTTTTTCTTCATTTTTTGCATAAGATTGACCCGGTTATATTCCTTCTTCTAAAAGAACTACTTATAGTAACTCTTTTTTTAATTGTCTAAAAAAAATACACTTTATATTTTCTACTCTATAATTTACTCATTATTTATCCATTTTCATTTTGTAAATGAACGATTGACTCATAATTTGTCTATTTTCAATTATTTCATTGTTATCGTACAAATGGAAAAATGGAAAATTAGAAATTACTCAGAATGGAAAATTCATTGACTCTATGACATTCTTGTAGTTTTTTCAAAATTAAAAATTTTTTGGACTTACTCCGAAGTATATTTTAAGATATACGGACTAAAATAAAACAAAAAAAGTATATGGAGTATGTAATACCTATTTTGATCCAAAATACCTTGTAATAGCATTGGAGCGGAATTCTTCCCTTTTAAAAAGACTTCGATTTAAGAAGGAAAAAATATTTAAATTTCCTAAATGCTATAAAAACATACCATTCAAAGATGAAGTAAATTTGGAAAGAATTCTCTAAGAGCATTGACAATGATAAGGCAAAAATGAAATGCCACACGGTGACATGGATTATTTCAACCAATAAAAAGTAACTCAGTCACTGTGTGGCAAATGAGTGGAGTGTCGTAACATACAGTGGCAAGTCGTTGTTTTTGTCTATTTTTGCACTTTTTAATGATTTTTAATTATAAAAAATTATTTTTAAAATTTATTTTATTATTAAAATATGTTTACTTCTTTTAAAAAATATTTTTTTTCAAAAATTACAAATATTAAAAATATTAAAAAAATAAAAAATGAGGGATTCATGCCTTGCACATGGAATGAAAAATGAGGTGGAATGGCCATGGAATACCATGATTTGAGTAGAAGTTGCTGACATGACATGGCAAGACAAGGCATTGTCTTGCCATTGTGAATGCTCTAAATTCAACTCACCTTATTACGCCACATAGCATGTCAATTATATTGCCACATGTCAAATTATTGTATTGCCAAATGTCAACTTCTTAAAACCTAAACTCTCAAATTTTATATTAAAGGATTATAAGAACGGGGTGTAGAGTAGTCCCATATAAATGGGGCAATATAGCCAAAAGGGGTGTAATATAATACTCGTGATATCCAAAAATAATGCTCATGTTTATTATTACAAGATCAAACTTTATTCATTTTGTTGGACTATTTTCGTTACTCATTTGATAAAATAATATAATCATGTCACATCTTATTTTGTAAATTTTTTATGTAGTTTTTAATATGTAATTTTTGTTTTTTTTAATTTTATACCATTTTTCATATAAAATGATTTGAAAACACGCAACAAGAAGATAATTTTTAGAAGGAGGTAGTAGGTGTCAATTTCGAATTTCGAATCAAATGACTCATATGGAGATAAAAACATCATTCACCATTTTCTACATTCTACTCTCTCCGTGCTTAAATATATCTCACATTTCTATTACCAAGATAAATTATATCAAGCAATTCATTTTATTTACATATTAATATAGAAATAAAAAATAAAATTTACATATCAAAAAACTACATATCAAAAGTTCTTGTGACTGCTGAAAAAACAAATGTGAGATATATTTAGAAACGGAGGGAGTAAAAGAGCTTTATTATTCTCTCCATCCCAATTTAAATTCCATATTTCGGTTTGTTGTAATTAATTGTACTTCTAATTGATTAATATGGCAGTTATTTCTCAAACCCATGAATCCATAGACGTGCATTTAAAAGTATTCTATAATTTTTCTAAATTGTAGTCGATTATTGCTTAAAAAAATAATCATTTTTGATCTCTTTGAAATACTCTTACCATGTTTGCCGCCTCTTCCTTTGTAAAAAAATCCTTTAGCTTTTTGGATTAAAATTGAAAATATTTAGCCACACAATTTAAAAAAATGTATTGATTAAAAATTTATGTTTAATATCAATACTTGAAATAAATTTGAAATACAATTTTAATGGATTAGCATGAATGATAATGGTCATAGTTATTCACATTAGGTACCGTCAAAATTTATATGGGAACCTTATGTTGGGATAAAAGAAGTATTCTCTCCGTTCGTAATTTGATTACAAATTGGAAGGTAAGAGGCAAAATCTCTCATCTTTTAAAATTTTTTATTTTTAAATTGATACATCAATAAAAAATAAAAATTACATATTATAAAACTACATCAAAACTCTACAAAACATGTAGTGACAAGAATTTTTTATTTTATCAAATACTCAATAAAAAATATAAATAAACAAAAATTATTGAGATGAGAGATAAAAAAGATTGTGATCTAATTTGGGACGGAGGGATGTTGTTTTTATATTTTTTGTTATTGGGCATTATCTGAACCAAGGAAATGCATTTACATAAGAATATAATGCATTCTTAAAGTCAAAGTATATGATAATGTATTTTGTTACTATGCAAATTTGGAATCAAAACTGATGCATCTGATTGTGAAAGTCTTTTGACACAAGCATGATGCATCTAAAATTTTCTAATAGTGAAATTTCTACAAATGATAATGCATTTAGAATCTTACTCCCTCCGTCCCACAAAAAAGTTCTCATTTTGAATAGTATTTAGTCAAATATTTACACGCTTTGACTACAAATTGTGAGAAAGGTATATTGAATTATAAAATAAATTTAATATAATTGGATTCATCTTAGGATCTAGTTTTGATATCTCTTAGCATTTCTTTATTTAGATTATATTTAATTTATGGTCAAAGTGTGTAACTGTTTGACCAATTTATGGTCAAAATGGGAATTTTTTTGTGGGACGGAGGAAGTATATGACACATTTGAATATGGGTTAAAACACGTTGATTGATGCCATTATTAAATGATCAAAATGCCTATTTAATATGTCCAAATAATGCAAGATGTGAGTCTCTTTGAAAATCAAAGTGTTGCCTTTTAGTTTAAATGGTACATTAGTATACTACATTACTACGGGTGTAACTTGTAAGTTCAAATTCCTCATAACCAACTTATTTTTCAAATATACTCCCTCCGTCCCGCT